TAAACAGTATTCATGTTATATCACTGTTTGTCAGCATAATGTGGGAGGAAGTCTGAAGTGATGCAGGTCTCAGATGCTTATCACTTTAGAGAAAACCTTGAACATGGGTATGGTGCTGACAAACCTAGAAACATAATCGGGGTGAACCAGGATTTGAACCCACAATCATAGGTTTCTGGCATGCCCAAGGGACACAACTCTGTACAGTGAATTGTGGCACCTTGGCCACACATGCCCCCCTCCCCCCAAATACAGGGAAATAACATTGATAGTTAATAGATTCCAATATGACTATATGATTAGAAAGGTGTTTGCGTTACATGCTGAAACATAGTGCCATGACACTCAAAGCAGCTCATCTAGATGTGCAGTCAACAGTTTAAGAGTAACAAAATATGCTGTCAGCATTTATATTCAATTATTTTCTGAATAAACAATGAGGACAAAGAACAAACACTAAAATCTATCATTTGATCAAAATATGCAGCATGTGAAGAAGAAACATACAAGTGCAGAGGTCAAATAAAGATTTAAGTGAGTGAGGGAGTTGGTTTTAATGCCGTTTTGAACACTATTCAAGTCATATCATGGTGTGTCAGGTTCATGTGGGAGGAAAGGCTGAAGTGATGCAAGTCTCAGACGTTTACCACTTCGGTGAAACCCATGGGCACGGGTATGGTGCTGACAAACCTGGAAACATAATCGGGGCGACCTGGAATTCAAACCCACAATCACAGGTTTCTGGCGTGCCCAAGGGACACAACTTTGCACAGTGAATTGTGGCGCCTTAGACAACTGGGTCATTGTGCCCACATCAAGGTTAAAAATATTGCAAAAAATGGAATATAGTAACTACTGACTAAATGTGGCTACCTTGGTGAATAAATTCAGGGGCCATAATGTGTTTGAACAAGCATGTGACATTTCTGCAACATTGGTCAAGTTGTCTCTGAGGAGATGATGTTTACTGTGCAAGGAAGTGCATTTTGAGAGAATTTAGGAGCATAGTAAAAGTAAAGGTCAAACCAAGGTCAAGATGTACCGGTAACATATCGTGACAAAGGGACCATGTGTTCAGCCCCACTTCTAAAAAAACATCCCCTATTTGTGGAATTAATTACCTAGCTCCAATGAGCAACACATGACCAACGTTGAGACCAATCTTCAATTTCTAGCTGTCAGTAGGATCAAAGTGCAGCATCATAACTGGTGGTAACAAGTATGTGAAGTTTCAGCTTCACTGGTTCAATGGTTGCTCAGATGTTTCCGATGCCCGATGCACCATGCATGACGGACAAGCAGGCCACAACATAAGCTCTCATAACTTTCTGTCAGGTGAGCTAATAAGCAGTCCACCATTTATGGAATACCTCAAAACTTTCGAACCAGAAACATATATCATAAACAATTTTGATATTACTAAATCAGTTGACAGATGATCTCATCAATATGATTCATGTTTTATACCTTATATTGTCTAATGCAATACAACTTGATCTTTGCCTCAAGCTACCCTAACAACAAGTTATACTTACTTCCAGGCAAAGGACTTCTGCTTTGGGATAACACATGCACTGTGAAGTACAACATTGAAACAGAAGAAAGTCTCATGCATGTAACCACCAAAATGAGAATCTAACAGATACTTCAAGTCTAATGACCTTGACCTTCAATCTCAGACATCAAGAATGGTTTCTTGAAAATTTCAAACTGAAAGCATATGTTGTGTTACAAATGTAAAGTAACTGTAGCCTAATGTAATAATACACTTCTAAGTATACTGTTTTACTGTTTACAAATCCTAGAATGTGTCAATGAGCTTGACATATGGCAGGTATAGACAAAAATGTATAATACATATTGTTATTATAATAGATAATCGTGAATTAAAAATCAAGCATTCCATGTTTTTACATTAAGGTTTCCAGTGACCATGACCTTGATGGAGGTCATTGAGAATCTTCCCAAATTAAAACCCCACCCAGGAAATCATTAAGTTTCCCAATCATAAATATTCATGTTATCATGTGCACAAGCATCTTTGATGCCTAAGTCTCATTGAGTGACCTTGACCTTCAAGATTATCCAATCACATGTGGGAACATTATTTTTGCAATCTTAGGAGGTGTTACAAATATTAAGTATCCATACTGTCAATGCTTTCTGAATCAAAATGCAAATTTCGTTATGAGTAAATGACCTTCAAGGTGACTTTGACAATTGATACACCCATGACACATGCCAGGTAAAGAGTTACTCACTTAGAGTCTATCAGAACTGTTTCGAAATTGCTTGATTTGTTTATGAATTAATCTGAAATTTCCAGTGAAATTTGAGCCATGTTTCATGAGGACCCTAGTGATCATGCTAAAGAATATTCAATCAAACTCCACCACAGACATCATCGATGCTAAGTTTGTAAAGTTCAAAATGAGTAACCTTGACCTCAAATATCCTTCAATCATGTGTTAGAAAACTTCACAAGTGTATATAGGAGGCATATCAGGTATGAAGTCTCTAACATCAGTCATAAGCGGATGGTTGAGAAAACAAGTTGCCGTATTCAAATTTGAACAAATATATTTACATCCAGGTATATGGGCGGCCATTCGGTCAAAAAATACAAACTTGAAAAAAAGGACAAAAGTACGCAATTAAGGTCAAATATTACGAATAAAGAACTAAATGTTACTACTAAAGGTCAAAATACAATATTAATAGTCAAATGTTAGGAAAAGACATCATAAGAAAAGAAAGAACAATGTGTACGAAAGAACGTCAGTGAGCATGAAAGGACGTTTTCAATAAAGTACGTCAGTGAGCACAAAAGGACGTTTTCAATAAAGAACGTCAGTGAGCACGAAAGGACGTTGACAATAAAGAACGCCAGATGGCGCTGCAACTTGTAAAACATTCCGAGTTTAATCGGCTTGTTCCGCCGTGTATAGTATATGATAACTGCATGCCGAGGTGCGCAATGTATTACGTCATTCCTCGTGCACTCACCGTCTGACGTCACACATATATATACATGTATTTATAATGTATAATGTACACATTGTGTATAAACATGTTGCGTTAAGCTTTGTCACCACTTAAGGGCCTTTTCATAAATACAGTATACTGTGTAAAACCAACATCTGTATACAACCTTAAAAAAACACTCACTTAACGTTAAACTAGGATTCACCTACAGTGATCCAATAACTGTTCATGCTTGGTGCAACACGAGGGTGCTATGATGCCGAGATTTGTTTCAGACGCACATTTTCATCTGAAGAGTGAACGTTGTGCGAGAGTTTGTTTTCTTTAACAGCTTTTCGGAAACTGTGTGCGAACAAAATGCTGCCTAATATCTGAACAACAAATATATATATATCAAATGGATTTGTATGCATATGAATAACTTACACATTCGTTAGGAAAAATAGCTCGCCATAAATAAAGAAAATCGAGTTTCATCTATGACGCCAGCTTTCGTTTTCAAACCATATTTATTTTTCTTGTTTACATCCACATTTATATGTGTGACGTCAGACGGTGAGTGCACGAGGAATGACGTAATACATTGTGCACCTCGGCATGCAGTTATCACGGCAGAACAAGCCGATTAAACTTGGAATGTTTTACAAATTGCAGCGTCATCTGGCATTCTTTATTGTCAACGTCCTTTCGTGCTCACTGACGTTCTTTATTGAAAACGTCCTTTCGTGCTCACTGACGTTCTTTATTGAAAACGTCCTTTCGTGCTCACTGACGTTCTTTCGTACACATTGTTCTTTCTTTTCTTATGATGTCTTTTCCTAACATTTGACTATTAATATTGTATTTTGACCTTTAGTAGTAACATTTAGTTCTTTATTCGTAATATTTGACCTTAATTGCGTACTTTTGTCCTTTTTTTCAAGTTTGTATTTTTTGACTGAATGGCCGCCCATACAGGTGTATGATACTATCACATGAAATCAGAATTATCTAAAATGTACCTACATGTAGTTTGGGGCTCTTCCATGAGGTTCCAAGTCAGTGTTGATACATGAAGTAACCAAAGAAGTTCAGTTTCAATTTCGTGATCATTTGCCTTGAAAAGCATAGAATACACATAAACTCACACCTCATCCTATCTGCAAACAAGTACCATGAAACTTAAAAACTGGATTTTTGAAATCAGTACAGAGACCATATACCGACATATTGTCTCTGAACAGTAATTTCATCTGTTATGGTGGATGGGCTTTAAAGATGTAAATCTCAACATTACTGTACTAGGCCATGGGCTACTTAGGTCCACTGTGCACCCCCCCCACCTCCCAACAAAACCTACTTTTTCTGAAGCCTTAGTATATCCTGAACATGAAATCATATGTTAACATTGAAAATATAGGGATGCACTTCCTGTTTTCATCATGTTTGTGGAGGTACCCTCAAAATCGCGATTTTGCAATCCACGTCGAGTGTCATTTTTGTACTTCAAAAAAAAGGTCAATAAATGTCTTTACAAATGTCCAATCTCTATGTGTAATATATCAAAATAAAGCTGAAGTTATTCCGGTTACAATTATGTTATTTTCATTTAAATATAATGAGAAGTATAGTGGCTATTAAACTTTTACTTAGTAGAACACACATATGCAAATTTGCTCCACGCAGATCGCTCAAACTTTCCATAATTTTCTATTATATGGAAAAATAAATACGAGGTAATCACAAAAACAAATACAGGCTATAATCTAGTGATATATAACTTTATCTTGAAAAAAAATCATTTGAATAAACACTATAATTGGACACATGAGAGTTCAAAGTACACGTGCCACGGTCATGTCCCAAAATATCACCTTCACAATAGAAGATCACACACACACACACACACACACACACACACACACATTATAGATTTAATTAAAAATAACACAAATTAAAACAAATGGATGAATTTTCCATGCACTGACAAAAGTGTATGTGTTTGTAACATATAAACTTTTTGTCCTATTTTTCAGACTGATGCATAAGTGATATCTGAAACGAGAGACATGGAGACAGGCGATGAGGTTGAACCTCCACCTAAGCGTCAAAGGATGGCCAAAGTGGTGAAGAGGAAACGAAACAAATATGCATTGTTCACATCCCAGGATTACAATACGGAACATTCCAACTGTTTTCTGCTACAAAGGATGCCGAAAACAGACTTATCAAATTGAAGGAGATACGCGAAAGGAGATTATCTCAGCCTCCGTGTTCTGTTCATCGAATGAAAGAGACATGTCTGCTTATACCGAACACAATAGCTGCACACCATGGATACCACAGAGAGTGTTACGAACGATTCACCATGAATCTCAACCGCCTCTCCTCACACTCTGATCCCTCAGGACCATCATGTTCTAAATCAAGCAGAAGAAGTTCAGCAGACCATGTATTATTTACTCCCGACTGCATATTCTGCAATTCAGAAGGAAGGAAGAAGATCAAGGAAAAAGGAACATGGACCACTGAGCGACTGAGCCAGTTTGAACATGATGGATGGATAACTATACTGGAGATAGCCGGGGAAAAAAATGATGAAAAACTTCTCACAAGGATTCGAGGGCAAGACTTGTTTGCCTGTGAAGCAAAGTACCACAAGTCATGTAGGGGTAAATACACACAGAATCCTGATAAATGGAGGAGTACACATGATGAAGACAAATCAAGGCAACTGAAGCTCACAGAGGCCCATAATATAGCATTCAGTGCTGTATGCAAAGTGATCGATATAGATATCATAGAGCAGAAGAACATGATGAAACTGACTGATCTGTGTAAGATATATATTGAAAGCTTGCAACTAACTGAGTTTCCAAATCCAAACTACCATGGTGAGAACCTCAAAGAAAAGCTTGAGAAACACCAGACGTATAAGGACAGGTTGTCTTTCTGTATGTTGAACAACACCGGAAACTTTCAAACCTATATTGTATATTCTTCAGATATTGATGTCAGCAATGCTGTTAGACGTGCATATGAGCTCGCTTCTTCAGATATGATCAAAGAAGTTGGAAGTTATCTGCACAAGATTATTCTTGACAGCTTTGCAAAAGCAAAGGAATTGAAATGGCCCCCCATCTGCTCAGGATCTTGGAAATGTTGATGATGTTCTGCCACCACAACTCCAGAAATTCCTCAACTATGTCCTAACAGATAAAGGGACCACCCACACACCTAAATCATATCGACTTGTACTTTCGATAGGACAGGACCTCTGTCGTGCGGCAACAAACGGGGAGTGGAAACTCCCAAAGCATGTGTTGATATGCATGACACTTCGCCATCTGTTCAGAAGTGAGCGATTGATAACACTGCTCAACCGAATGGGCCATTGTGAGAACTACTCATTTTCACTGGAATTAGAAACAGCGCTGGCTCAGGCCATTGCGCAAACATCAACTCTATTGTCAACTCAGATTATTCGGTCACCTACTGCACCAGCAGTTTTTCATTCTGAAATTGATAACTTCGACCAATTACTGAACAACCTCACCGGAATGGACTCAATTCATACTGCCCATGGTATCATGCTGCAGGATATAGAAGGCAAATCAGAGGATCATGGTGGTATTCACATAGACATTCCATCAATTCTGAAGGACAGCACAACAAAGCAACGGTCATTAAACCTCGATCCAGCTGACAATCTCCCAGAATGCTATGTCACCCAGCGTAGAAGTCCACAGATAATCATCAAACAGCTGACATATCCTGGTGGCGAAGACACGTACAATGCAGCTAACATGCGACACATATTGTGGATGCTGATAAGGATGAAGAGCAGTTTATCACACCAGACTGTTCCCGGATGGACAGGCTTTGTGTCTCTAACTGGAACAACTCCTGAGAATTTGACAACAATAGACTACTATCCCGTTATTGGTTGTCCAATCACAGAATACAAAACTGTGCAGGAGTGTCTACGCTATGCTGAAAATGCCACCAATGAAGTTGATCAGGAATACATCATCACCACATTCGACTTAGGTGTATGTATGAAAGCATACCCACTCGTCTGGAACAATCAAACCAAATATGAGAAGCACATAATCCTGATTGGAACCTTCCATCTAGTTTGCGCATACATGAAGATGATAGGAAAGAAAATGAATGGGTCAGGCCTCTCTGACATATTGCTGGAATCTGGCTTGATTGCGTCGGGTTCCATCACAGGTGTTCTTTCGGGGAAACACTATGAGAGAGCAATGCACTGCCACAAGGTCTTGTTGGAATGCCTTGAGAGACTTCCGATGACTCAGTATGTAGCAAGTCAGGGTCAAACTGAAGCACTGTCTTCGTTATCTGAGCAATCTAAGCAACTTCTAGTTCTAGTGAACTACATCAAAGGGTTTCAGCAATATCGTGATGACATTAGAGCAGGACTTCGTGGAGAGACTGCTCAAATGTGGCTATCATACATGGATCATGTATGGCTTGTACTATCACTGATACATTCAGTGAAGCACAATGATTTTCTCCTCTATGGACATTGTCTTCATCTCATGGCCGACCTATTTTTTAGCTTTGGCGGACAAAATTATGCGAGGTACCTCACATATTTTTCGACATTCATAGCCAACATCGAGACATCTCATCCAGGAGCTACAGACTTGATGAAGAGAGGTGCTATTAGCGTAGCCCGATCATTCATTCCTGGCAACAGATGTGCAGTCGACAAGACAATGGAAGAGACTTTCATGCGACATGCCAAGTCTCATGGGGGTGCTGGTGCTGGTGAATCAGGAGTGTTGACTAACCATGATGCTTACCAACGCTGGGTTAGAACCACTCACGCCAGATCACAGTATGTCAATGCCACACTCAATATGGCTGATATGTTGTCAGACCGCATTGGGGAATCCAAACATCATGATGTCCGTCCTGCTGAGGTTCTTAAAAGTGAAAAACTAGTAAAGCGGACACAAGAAGCTGTGGAAAGTTTTTTAAACCCATTCACAGTAGACAAGAAACATCAGTTGTTGATACTTCCATCAGGACAAGCAGCATCCGAGGATGTGAAAGTAGATGTCCTCAGAGCAGAAGTGGCAGGTAGAGAAGCAAAGAATGCCTTCATTGAAACCCATTTGAAAACAGGCAAAGATTTCTTTGAACCAGTGAGCGTTTGAATCTCAAAACTTTGGGAGACATGAACAAGAAGATCAGCATTACAACCACTGCAAACAAAGTAGTCCAGTATAAGCAACAGGGAAACATAGCTTTTCATTTGTTCATCAAATCCCAAAATCAAGGAATACAAATCGATCTGAAGGAACTCCTGACATATCCCTTAACTCCTGTGCCATACAGCATTGGGACTGCCGACGGCTTCCTTGCAAAGACAGACAAGGCAAAGGCTTTCCATCACCTGACCAAGGATCTGGAGGACGTGGATGTCCCTCCTGCTAATGAAACTCTTGTAATCCATGATGGCAACGCTTGTTTTTACTACTTGAAGGACATTCCTGGTAACTTCAGCCAAATTTGCCAGAAAGTCTTTGATATCATGTCAAAAACCGGTGATGTTGTGTTCAGCACAGACAGCTATGTGGCAAACTCTGTCAAATCCATGGAGCGACAAAGAAGGGGATGTGGGGAGAAACTCATTGTCAAAGGAGGGAATACGAAAAAACCCGCGGACTGGAAGGAGTTCCTATGCAATGATATCAACAAGCAACAGTTCATCACCCTTCTTACTCGACTCTGGAGCCAAGATAAATATGCCAAAAAACTACAAGGTAGAAAAGTAACAGTCGTATGTGAAGGCTCTGCATACCAACTTACTTCTGATGACGGTCTGAGAACACAGTGTGCAGAAATACCAGTCATCAAGTCTTCCCAGGAGGAGACAGATTCCAGGATCATCCTTTATTGTGAATATGCCAGGCTCCAAAACTACAAGTATGTCAGAGTAAAGAGCCCAGATACTGACATTTTGTTTATCCTTCTCCATTATGCACTCAAGATGGAGAATATCAAAATTCTCTTTGACACCGGAACTGGTAACAAAAAAAGGTTGATTGATGTCAGTGAACTTGCTCTGTCACATACTCAGCAACACTGCACAGCGATGATGGCACTTTATGCCTACAGTGGTTGTGATACTACAAGTGCCTTCAAAGGCCATGGGAAGGTAAAACCACTGAAAACTCTGTCAAGGATGCCCAACTTCGTGCCACTGCTTGCCAGGTTGGGTGACGCATGGCATGTACCTGTCGACGTCATGGATGAACTTGATCAGTTCACATGTGCTTTGTATGGGAAACCTCGTATACTGAGTGTCAACGATCTACGCTCCCTCAGAATGAATGAGCTATGTGCCAAAGATGATCTACCTGGCCCTTGTCGCAATGTTGATATGGGAACCCTACCTCCCTGTCGAAAGAGTCTTGATCAGCACATAAGAAGGGTCAATTATCAGGTTGCGTATGGAAGAGAGCACACATTGCCGATCCACATATTCCAGCTCCTGTTGATGGTCATGGTTGGGTGATGATTGGAGGGAAACTCGAACCACTGTGGTATGAAGGTGACGTGTTGCCACAGCGACTAGTAGATATAACTGAAACAGGGGATACAAGCAGTGATGAGGAGTTTGACTCTGATGATATATCTCTTCCTGATGCAGTAGACTACCTCGACGTTGATAGTTCAGACAGTGACTAGATTGAACATTTAGTGTGCCTACAGACGTTTGAAATTTTGTAAATTGTTTTATTGTCATGAATTTACATCAATGCTGGTTTCTTGTTTGTCCCGATGCAATCATGCATTGATAAATATGCATTTTCCACTTAAAATCTGAAATCGAGATACATGTATATATGTTGACATGAACACTAGACTGGTAAATTTGTCCGTTGTCATTTTAATGGAAAACCATACTTATGATATGTAAAACATGTACTGTAATACCTAATTTGATATCTGCTTATGTGGCCAAGAGTCTTTTTAAAGTTTAGATTTAATTTGTTTGACCCAAATGTAATTTCGGATATTCTATATTGCCAAACAAAAGCTATTCTAAGTTAAAAGAAATCTATAATGTAAATGGTAATTCTATGGATTGTACCACGATGTATAGTTTGAATTCTCATGTGTCCAATTATAATGTTTATTCAAATGATTTGTTTTCAAGATAAAGTTATATATCACTAGATTATAGCCTGTATTTGTTTTTGTGATTACCTTATATTTATTTTTCCATATAATAGAAAATTATGGAAAGTTTGAGCGATCTGCGTGGAGCAAATTTGCATATGTGTGTTCTACTAAGTAAAAGTTTAATAGCCACTATACTTCTCATTATATTTAAATGAAAATAACATAATTGTAACCGGAATAACTTCAGCTTTATTTTGATATATTACACATAGAGATTGGACATTTGAAAAGACATTTATTGACCTTTTTGTTGAAGTACAAAAATGACACTCGAAGCGGATTGCAAAATCGCGATTTTGAGGGTACCTCCACAAATATAATGAAAACAGGAAGTGCATCCCTATATTTTCAATGTTAACATATGATTTCATGTTCAGGACATACTAAGGCTTCAGAAAAAGTAGGTTTTGTTGGGAGGTGGGGGGGGTGCACGGTGGACCTAAGTAGCCCATGGCCTATACGAGTTGATCAACAACTATTTTATAATATGCCTTGTATGTCAATGAATGTCTTGTAGATTTAAAAATTTAAAAGGACAAAAACAGAAACACATATACCTGTTATGTTTCTAACATAACATCATAATACTGTAGTCAAGAGTGCGTGCGCATGTATGTGTGTGTGTGTACGCATGTATGTGTGTGTGTGTGTGTGTGTGCACATGTATGTGTGTGTGTGTGTGCGCATGTCTGTTTATAGGTGTAGGAGAACTTAATTTAATGCATTTTCTTACTCTCCATGATATGTGCAATCCTAAGATGTCAAGGGTGTGTGTATACTAACACTGAAGTATGAGAACTGAAGTCTTGTACTTAGGGATAGGGAAATATCTACCTGAAATGAAATACTCATGATGAAAATGTTACATATGTATGTATGATGTATGTTTACATCATATAGTCTATGTGTCGGCTACAAATCCTCTGGTTCCTCTTCAGGAAGTCTAATGATAGGTATTCCATGAATGGCTTGTTGTTGATTTGAGTCCTCAGGACTAAACTGCCTGTCTCTACAAGACCAGGCTACAGATTGTTCCTCTTCAAAATCCTCCTCTTCGATACTGTCTTGGGGCGAGAGTCGTCGTACTGAACTAGCACTACTATCACTGCCTAGGCTGGTACTGCGCATATCTGGTGCGAGTCTGTCACGCCTCCTATCATCCCCTATAACAGGTTCTGTGTGTTTACGATGCAACCTGTGCCGATAGTGCAAGCGTGGGGAACGCCGTGCACCAAGTCTAGTGTCATGTGGCTCCTGGCGGATAAAGTCATTAAAAATATTGTTTGTAGTTTCATCAATGCTATAATCCCTTGATAAATATTTTTCACGTGTTTCCAGTGAGTGAGACTTAAAAAATCTCTTAAAAACTGAAATTTTACTTGGGACTGTATTATCTTCAAAACTGTCTCCTGATGCAAGTTCTGACTTGGAATCTGTCTCTGGTTCATTTATACTTTCATAAACACGCACCATCTGCCTCTCGCGACTGTAGGCACGCCTCTTTTTTGATGCCGTTTTGCCATTTCTGCGATCAAAATGGGATGCATGCCCCGATCGCTTTTGGGCATGTTTTGGACTTTCCAAGCTTCCAGGTTTAAGGTCTTGAACTGTGGAAGTTTGTGTTGGTTTTTGTTGAGACTTATGGAGGGATTTAAGGGGAGATTTTGGTGGTGAGATTTCAAGACAGGGAGCTCCTGGGGATGTATCCTTCTCCACATCTGCATTTTCTTTAGTCGAACCCTGTGTTTCTAATGACTTGTACCCGCTATCTGCCTTCATTTGCCTTAACTTGCTCTGTTGGCTCTCTGTCGTACTGTCGGTGTTGTCTGTCGTTGACTCGAAAGATGTTGTTGTGACTTCATAGCGACTAGTGTCCGATACATCTCCATCAGTTTCCACACTATCAAAACTATTTTCAGTGCTTGTATTGGGGCCAGCTTTCTGTAACCTCTTGGTTAAAATGTTTCTGTAGTTCTGACGTCTATTTTCATAGTTTGGATGAAGAAGATTCTTTGAGGAGGTTCGACCAGCTCCTTCCCACTGAATACTGTTATCTCTCTGATCACCTACCCCAACATCACTGGGAGCCTCTGTGTTGGACTCAAATGAAGTAGTGTACGGTGTAATTTGCTCATGTTCAGGTGATTCTTCAGGTGATGTCATGTCCTCCATTCTTATTGTGTCACTGCACTCATCCTCGTCCTCTAATGTAGCTCGAAGGTTCCAAAGTTCCCGATATTTCTGGGTGCCGTTAAGAGTCTCTGTGTCGTCACTCTCTTCTGGCATGATTCCTTCAAGGTCAAGGTCATTTAGATACACTACTTGCTCCTCGTTTAATTGTTCCAGACTTCCTGTGTCATTGTATCGTACTTTAGATGACATTGGAGAACCTAACTCTGATATCACATCATAGTCAGTATTATAAAAAGGTCCCTTTGAAAACTCTGTTATCTTTAGTACATCATAATCAGCAAAGTCCTCATAACTTTTAACTTTTCTTGTCTCTCTGTACATTTTCTGTGTCGTCGGGCTAACCGTCTCCAAACTATGTGAGTATTTTTGGGCAGGACTTGTTCGAAGACTTTGAGGTGGGTGTGGTCTTAAATCTTTTCTAAATTCACCTGCTTCTTGGACACCTTTTCTTTCATCTAACTTGTTAATAGTTTGTTGATGGTGTATTTCCACTGCTACCTGCGTTCTTATAGGTTTCAGTGTTGGTGACAGTGAGCTGTTTAGGTCAAGTATTGGCAGGGACTCTCTGCGTGCCTTTTCCTCAACCTTCCGCAACTGTTCTTCTATACTAGCCCTTAGTGCTGCTTCATCAACCCAGGTCCTAGCACCTAGGGAATACTGCCGTGGTACTGACTTGTCAATCTTAGAACGCTTCAGGTGATGGAAATCGCCCTCTGTATACCTTAAACCAGAAATCAGAATTTAACCATTACAAAACCTGTATGAAAATGATTTCATAAACAAAGTGTAGCAGCTCCAGTCAAATTCTGACAAATTCTTAAAACATTCCAGGTTATACATGGGGCTGCTTGAAGATATTGCCACAGTTACTATATATAACACACCATATTTAATTTTAACTCAATGTGTCAGTTTGGCATGACATAGACTCTTTTCAATTCAATTATTATTTATTCTAGCTATCTAAATGTACCGTACTACTCAATCCACAAATAAGTAACACACTAACATTCTCACGAAGGTTTCTTACTTTTATATTTTCTTTGTACATGTATCTTCTACTAATGTCTACAACCTACATAATATTCCTTTATGTTTATTATGTTCAAATTATGTATTAACAACTCTTCTTAATTGAAATGTGCTTAATTTCTTTTCTTTGTTTTCGTTTTTATTTTTGTGTTACGCAATTTTTAATGAAGGAAGTCTGTCAGTCATTGTAAACTTGCCATCTTGTTTGCAAAGAGAATGTCTTTGCTGACCCATAGCCTCATAACCATTCTATGTGAATTCATCTATCTATGTATCATTCATATTCTTCTCATTTTATATTTGTAACACCATATATTTTCACCACATACATATGTAGAGTGTTACAACACTCTGGGGGCTTTCAGGTTAATGTTTCTTATCCTACTCGGGGTAATCTGCTGCAGTGGAATATCATGCCATCATCAGTAATTTATTGCTCAATTCCGGACGCTCAAATATTGAGGCAAGCACCCCGTTATTTTACATCATCTCGAGCGTACCAGAATGGGGGCACGAAACCCACTATTTACAGTTTCTGAGGCGTGTCAGAGAAGGTGCATCGTTAGCCGATCAACTGGGATTCCTGCAGCAACCTTCCAGTGAAGGCATACTGATGAAAAGAACTTCTAGACCCTGCATTTGAGGTGCAGGGACTACAGAAGAAATGTTACAAAGGGGCAACTGACTCTACTCTAGATGCAGCTCTGTTTCATTGATCACACAAACCAGACATGAACACATACTAGTGTCTGGCGAGATTTTAAAAAAAATGGATGCTCAAAAACTGTTCAGAGACATCCATGGACACGACTCCATCTTAATGGCTAGTTAAAGATGGTTATGGAGGTTGAAAAAACGACATGGCAAGTCATTTACAGTTTCTTAAATCAGTACAGGCCAGTCTTGTCACAACTGTAAATTTGATCTTGGTCATAGCCCTTTGCTTCAATAGTGAATGAATGAGTCTTGTTTCATGCCGCTTTTATCAATATTCCAGCAATATCATGGCAGGGGGACACCAGAAATGGGCTTTACACATTGTACCCATGTCAGGAATCAAACCTGGGTCTTCGGCGTGATGAGCAAACGTTTTAACCACTAGGCTACCCGACCACACTACCTGCACATCATTGTGCCTCTGCAATTGCGCAGGTGACAGCAAGGATTTTTGAAGAATATTTTTTATAAATTTGTGCCAGCTGTCAGTGACCACTTACAATCCTGCAACTTGAAGGAGAGAGCCTTTCTCCAACTCAATAACTGCCCAGCCAATCCCCCAGCAAGCACCTTGAAAGTCATATGATGAACTAATAAAGGTATGAGGGGCGTTCATAAAAGATTTCCCCTTAACCACTTAGGGTTATCATATTTGGTTGAAATTTCACATGTGTAATGATACATGTATCTATGGGTTATGTCTGAATTTGCAGCACCGAACTATTAATCTTTTCACTTTTACAGGTGTTATGATCGAGTAGGGTGTGACAATGGAGCCAGTAGAATACCGAGCAGTGAATAGGTTTATATATTTGAAAGGTCGCACACCAAAAGAAACTTTCGATGAAATGAAAGCAACTTATGGGGAAGATGCCCCATCATATGACGTTGTTAAACACTGGCATCGCCAGTTCAAGTGTGGTCAGACATCTGTGGAAACAGCTGCCATTCCTGGTTGCCCCCATTCAGCCATTGATGAGGACACTATCCATCAAGTGGAGACTGCCATTTTGGCAGACCGACGTATAACTTTTCGCCAGTTAACACAAGATGTCAAGATCAGTGTAGGGTCTGTGGAAAAAATCATCCATGACAATTTGAACATGCATAAGGTGTCTGCACGATGGATTCCCAGGTTTTCTCACACCTTTCCAAAAGCAGGAATGAGTCAATTGCTCAAAAGATCTTTTGGACATGTGCCAAAAAAAACACATGATGAAACACTGATTTCTGAAGTCAAGTCCTGGTTTGAGACGCAAATTTAGGGCTTTTACAAGCGAGGTCTCCACAGTTGCATAAAACGATGGGAGAAGTGTATAACTCTTGGTGGTTCCTATGTGGAGAAAGACTAATACCTATGCCAAGTTTCATTCCACTAGGTCCATCGGAAGTGGGTCAGGGGAAATCTTTAATGAACACCCCTCATATCTTACTGCCATAGAATACAACCTCTTTGATCCAACTGCTTGATCAAGATGTCAAGGCGTACAAAGCACATTATTGGAGCTTTCTTGTTACTGCGTTCGTAGGAAGTGTACTGGACACCAAAGATGTCATCCTTCACACAGACAGCCAGCAGCTGCAGGAAGTGGACACCAACTATCATCCACAACTGCTGGATGAAGGGACATGACAGATGCTGTTTGAAGGTTCCATGTGTCCACTAAAGAAAACAACTGCAACGGCAATGCTTTGGAACTCCTGCAACGACAACCTGCTATTTGCTGAGGTCCGCACTGACAAAGAGTTGATCACTTGTGCTAACCCCAAGAAAGAGTCAATCGACAGTGAAGACAACAAAAGTGATGAGACATCTGTGAGGCTATTACTGCCACAGAATATCTACAGCTCCACAAAGAACAAAGTGCACTATTTGAAGAACTTCGGGGATACAAGTTTGTTGTTTACTGTCACACGTAAAAATTCGGAGGATGGGACAGTAAAAAACACGAAAATCAGTGACTGTTTCAGGAAATCAAGTGTGTGTGTTAATACAAGTATCATTCAGTTGGTTTTAAACTCCACTTTGAATAGTGTTTCATCAGAGTTTTCCTGTAATTACTACTTGTAATATAAAACCATATAGCTCTCATCCAGTCAAATCTGTGTTTGTGTTTATTTCTTTTCAAACAATGGAGCAGCACACATCATGTACATGCATCAAAGGTGCATGAAGGCAAGCCGGCTGTGTCTGGGCCTTACATCAAGCTCATAACTTGGAAATGTCATCACATATCAACCAATCACGGCCTGGGTGTCACATTTAGTTTTATTACAAGACTCATCTGGCTTTGTAATGCACTCTTATCAATCATGAATATGAATGGATCGGTAAAAGCATGTTTCTTCTGAAAAACTAGAATATAAGAACAGTTTGTTTCCATACAACATTCAGTCACAAAATAATGTAATACTGAAGGACTCATTTTCACTTATTTTGTCTGATTTATGTGTGCATTTTGACCCACGATCTAGGCTACATACATTCATTAGCAAAACATCATCAGCAATGAGTATCTGTATAACACTCTTTCCTAGAATGCGAGATCGGGATCTTGGGCACTGACAACAGTGGTATATCAAGGGTTCACTCTACCTGGCAAAAACCTGTTCCGGATGCCATCTTTGTATTAAAGTACGTGTGAAAAAGATTTTCTGAAGAAATCCTTTTCGTACAGCTACTAGTGATAGAAAAGACTGGGAGAGACAACTTCCAAGATGACTTTAAAAGTATCGTGCTACTGCTCATCATGTAACTGGTGAGCCTTGTTTCTGAACAGGGATATCAAAACAAAATTGCCTGTGCTACATTCCGATAAACCTCATCCTTTGATGGCAAAGAAATTGAAATTTGCAGAGAAAACAGCAAAACAACATACAGCATTGAAGGTGACATTGTGTATGTGGCTAACATTGTACGTGGCAAATTGCAGCCAACCTACAATGAGTGGGTTAGATCGCTGACTTTGTGTGCTGGCGATTAGGTGCCTCACTCTGAGAGTGTGAGTTCGAATCCTGGATGGGACTCAACCTCAAAAAGTACTGGCATTTGTACTTTACTAAGAAAGTGTAATCCAAAATACAATGATGTAAGACATGTACGTGGTGCTTCATAAGAAACAGTGAGACACTTTCCAGATAGGTAATTGTAAGACTGGTGTTGTCTGTGTGAGAAATGCAAAATTTTTGGGACATGTTCTATGTGTCGATTCTAGGTATGAAGTTAATACTGACAGTTTGTGCAGCAAACAACAACAAACAATGGAATATAGTAACACAATTGATTGACATTGGAGACAACGGGGGGCTACCTCAGTTGCTGGTGCTAGTGGATCGTAAACCCAAGCAATAGGATATAGAGAAAGAGTACCCTGAGGATCGTGGATCCTGGGTTGATAGCATGTTTGTGGGTCGTCAACCTGAGTATTGTTGTGGATTAATCTGGGGTCTAGGATCCCAGTGTCAGTAAAGATGTACCCTTGGAGGTCGTGAACCCCCGGTGTTAGGTTAGGGATAGGATTCCAGTATTAGTAAAGATGTACCCTTGGAGGTCGTGAACCCCCGGTGTTAGGTAAGGGATAGGATGCCAGTATTAGTAAAGATGTACCCTTGGAGGTCATGAACCCCCGGTGTAAGGTAAGGGATAGGATCCCAGTATTATAAAAGATGTACCCTTGGAGGTCGTGAACCCCCGGTGTTAGGTTAGGGATAGGATCTCAGTATTATAAAAGATGTACCCTTGGAGGTCGTGAACCCTGGGTGTTAGGTTAGGGATAGGATTCCAGTATTAGTAAAGATGTACCCTTGGAGGTCGTGAACCCTGGGTGTTAGGTTAGGGATAGGATCTCAGTATCAGTAAAGATGTACCCTTGGAGGTCGTGAACCCCCGGGTGTTAGGTTAGGGATAGGATTCCAGTATTGGTAAAGATGTACCCTTGAAGGTCGTGAACCCCCGGGTGTTAGGTAAGGGATAGGAT